TGGGTTACGCGCGCCCAGGCGTCATAGCACGCAGCTCAGCTACTCGCAGAGAGCAGGACCGCGTCGCCATAGTAACCCATCACTGACTCCAGGCTAGCGCCGGTTGCCATAGGAACCATTTGGGGACGGCAGTCACCAGGGAAGGCTGGGATGTGAGGGGGCACCTCCGGAAGCTGTGCTGCCCCCGAGGGGTGGGGAGCCCGGCGGGATGGGGACATGGGGATGCGGGAGATGTGGAGCAGCAGGGAGGGGGCTTCAGCGCAGGACAGGGGACACGGGGCTCACCTTGAAGAGGGCGATGCTCTGGAGCACCCCCGAGGTGCAGCACATCTCCCGGATGGAGTGCATGGCCAGCTGCGGGCAGCCGATGTCCAGCACGCGCAGCCCCAGGCGAGAGGCCAGAATGGGGCCGATGGTGGTGCCGCAGGGCGTGTCGTTGCGCACCATGAACTCCTGCATGGGGACACGGCCTCAGCAGCTCCCAATGCTGCCCCACAGACTCCCACATGGAGCCTTGGGCCTGAGGGGAGGCAACCTGGGACAGGGAAGCAGCGCCGTCCCCAAGCCAGGGTGCAAAATCCCCCAGCTACGGGACATGCTCAGGCCAGGCCCTCCCCACTGTGTTCCCAAGCCTGCTCCCTGAGGCAGCCCCCGGGGCTGCAGCCCCAGAGCAGCAGGCAGCACAGACCCCAGTGGGGAGGGACACGGTAACTGAGGGGTGGGGGTCTGGCACAGGCCCCACTCTCCTGAACCCCAAGGCTAGGGCCCCAGCCCAAGCTGGTGACGTTCGGGGGGGCTCAGCCAGGCCTGCTCACCTGCAGAGGGACACCCACGCGGGCAGCGATGTCCCGGATGACTGCTTCAGTGACAGCCGTGGAGGCGTAGCGCTGGTTGCTGTTCACTTTGATGACGGGGCCCTGCACAAAGGAAGGCACTGCAGGCCCACGATTGGCACCGGGGATAGTCAGTGGCTTTGGAAACGCCCAGGCAATGCTGTCAGGCCCCAACCCACCAGGCCGCTCTCCCCTCCCTGGGTGATCTGTGGGGATGGGGACAGCCCTGCCAAGGGGACAGCCCCACCTCAGAGCAGGGAAGGGCTCCAGGGCCAAGGCTGTGGTCCCAAGTGATTAACACCAGACGTGCAGCACAACAAACGCCTCCCATTTGAGTGCCGTTGAGTTGCACCCTAGGACCGTGCTGCAGGGAGCAGCTGGGTGTTTCACAGCGCTGCAGGACAGACAGACAGCACCCATCCCAACCTGAAGCAGAGGGCTGCCCTCACCTTGTGGAAGGCTGGACGATGATTCTCCTCATGCTTGTCCCTGCAAAAGAGAAGCAGGAGTTTTGTGCTACAGCCTTCCCTCCCTGCCGCAACAGGGACTGTCCTGTCTGTACTCCCTGGGGAATGACAGGGATACGTCCCCCCAGCCAGCAGGGCAGGCTGCCCCAGCCTGCGGCACTGGTCATGCTACTCACACGTAGTTAGGGTGCACAGCGTGGGCCATATCGGCGCTGATCATGTAGGACTTGGCCACAGCCTCCTCAAAGGCTGTCAGGTTTTGCGGTGATGCCGAGATCCGGCGCAGCACCAGCTCCGTCAGCAAGGACTCCGCGCCCTGCGCACTCTCTGACCCTACCTGCCAAGGACCACCATCAGCACAACCCAGGCAGTGCAACACCCCAGCACCCCAGGCGCCGGCTGAGTGACAGAGGGCTCCCCAAAGCCAGCAGAGCAGCTTCCAACCATACCAGTGTTTCCCACTCCCTGCCTGAGCCATGCTCCGCAGTGGGGTAAACAAACCCCTCCTTGCCCCACTGGGGCCTGGGATCAGTCTCCTGCTAGGCACGGCTGGGGCAGAGCAAAGAATGTGGAGCCCCTCCCTGTGCCAGCCACCCCTGGGCTGTGCCCCTGGCTCACCTCCTCGTTGTCGTAGAGTGCAATGAGACGCACGTTTGGCTCCTGGGAAAGGGAAGAGGGCGCTGCGCACGAGTCAATCAAGGCCTGTGAGGTTAGAGGAGAAAGGACACCAGCTTGAGTGCCACCCCACCCTGGGAAGCTCAGCACTGAGCCGGCAAGAACTTCCCCAGGAGGGGCCAAAGCAGTGAGGAAGGGAGCTATGGGCACGCACATTGCCTAGCAAGAGCCGGAGTCACCCCTGGGAGCCCCACACACCCAGCAAAGGGGGCAGCCCCCATCCAACCCCAGATCCTCCAACAAGCCAGACCCACCCCATAGGAATGCGCCTCCCTGCAGAGCCTCGGGCCAGGCCACGGCCCTGCTAAGCCGACCCAGGGGGTGCAGCTGCCTCCAGGCTCCTTTCCCCTTCCTGCTCACCTGCAGGGCGCAGTAGCAGCTGTGCAGGTTGTCCAGGCGTGGGGAGAAGATGAACTCATCGAAGGCACCACCCAGCGTCTGCAGGCAGAAAGCCAGGCTCTGGGTCACCAAAAAGTACCTGCCACTGCGTCCCCCTTCCAGTCTCCTCACCTCTGCCTCCTCTCATTGGGCACAGCTCCCAGCCCCGGCATGCCCCAGGCAGAGGAAGCGTGGCTGGGTAAAACCTGTGCAGTGCCAGCCCGAAGGCTGCGTGCAGGCAGAGGGAGGCTCCTGCCCTTACTCACCGCTGGCTGTGTATCTGCCAGGCATAGTTCCAGCTCCACAATCTGCTCCGGTTTCACCCCCAGCTGGGGGCAGAGCAGGGAAAGCAGGACAGGGCTGTGCCGCTCTGCCTGGGAAGAAAGCAGAGCTGTGGGCAGGGAAGGCAGTGGATGATGAGGGAAACTCCCTGTTCCCCCTGGCAGAGCTATCCCATACCCCACTCACATTGGCACGGTCCTCCCTGATACGTCCTGTCTTCAAGCCCCCACCTCACACAGGACAGCAGGGCCATTTGCAGGGTGCAGCAAGGGGCGCTCTGTCCCCTATGCAATCCCCCCTCCCTGCTCTACCTCCCCAGGGAGACTGTGACAGCTTCACGGGGGCTGCACCCCCTTCTAATACAATAGCTGCAGAGCAGCGTGGGAACAGGGAGATGGCTGAGCAGATGTGTCGTGTATGCAGCTCTGGGGCAGAATGGAAGGTTACCAGCAGTCCAGGGGGAGAAGGGGAAGGGGAACCTGCTGACAGGTTCCTGAGGACTGGAAATCAAAGGTGACAAGTGTGAGGTCCTAGCAAGTGCCCCTGCTAGTCCCTTGCACCCGGCTCACCTGGGCCGCAGCATCACAAGGTGTGGCCTCCATGAGCACCTCCTTTTCCAGCTCCTCCTGCACAGCAGTGGCCAGAATGGGAACCCTGTGGGGAGATGGTGCCATTAGCTCCTAGGGCTTTGCTCACCTCTCCGGCTTGGATCACACACAACCAACCCTTTCTGGGGTGCCTGCCTTGCTCCTCCAGGGAGCAACTGCCATGGCAAACAGAGCAAGGACACACAACATTTCAAGCACAGATCTATTGTGCCACCTCAGGACTCCCCAGTGTCCTCTCTCAAGTCCTAAGCTTGGAAGCATCTCCTGGGAGGACTCTATGAGGCCAAGAAAAGCCATTGCAGACCTCCCCACTGAAATGAGTGGCTGCCAAAGGGAGAGAGCTGAGGCTGGGCACCGCTCCAGCTAGGTCCCAGCCCTCCCGAGGGCTGGCCAGGGGTTGGGGCTGAGCCAGGCCTTACAGGTGGTGCTCAGTGTTGGGCCCGAAGTTCTCATTGATGCTGCGCTGCAGATGGATGGCCAGGTGGGGAATGCGGAGGACGGGCCGCTCCACATGTACCAGGCGCTGCTCCAGGCGCCCCGTGGCTGGGTCCTGAAACACAAGGAGGACTGCTGGGCCAGGCCTGCAGGGCTGAGAGGTTGCAGTAGGTCCCACTCCAGGTGGGAGACACGGACTCGGAGCCAGGGGCGCATAGCTAGCCCACCATGCCTGTCCCAAATCAGGCTCACCTTTATGATCACCCTTCCGGCCACGGTGAGGTCACGGTCAAACCAGGTATTCCAGATGCCCCCTCCATAGGTCTCCACGCCGACCTGCACGATGCCCACCTGCCCCCGCTTCGAGCGCCGCTTCACCTGGGCGAGAGCAGAGGCGTCATTGCTGGCACCACGAAGTCCCAGGGACCGGGGAACTGGTGGGGACTGGGCAGAGCACACCCAGAGTCTGATCGCTGATCCCGGCACCGCAGGGTGCTGTGAGGCGCTTCGTGCGGCAGGGGACACCGAGGGGGGAGCAGCGGGTGGAGCAACACGGGGGTCAGCACAGACTGCTCTGGGCGGCAGATTTGGGAGGTGCAGGGACCCAGTGACGGTGCTGTGGGGCACGGGCGCAGCCAGGGTAGCTTTTGCTTGTGGAGTGAAACTGGTGGGCAGCAGAGAAGACCCCAGCCCCGGGGGAAGGCGCCCGGCCGGCCGGCCTTACCCTCAGGCAGGGGCTGTCGGTGTGGGCCCCCAGCAGGCTGAACCCATTCCCGGGCTGGAACTGCCCGCCGACGGCGAAGGCGATGAGGGTGGAGAAGTTCCTGGTGACGAAGTACTGGGGGCAGAGGGGCAGGGGTGAGGGCCGCCCGCCGGCCGCCCC